TGCTGAACAAGGCTGTAAAGATTACTAAATATGTTTGTAAGTGCTATATAGATGTAGACTGTCATTGCTGTTGACTTGACCAAAATCACACAGTACGAGACTCTTTCCATCATTTCACATTCCCTGATTTTTCTGATTATCATCACATTGCTATAGTTAGGATATGATATGTGTGTTTCCCCAACTAGATGCTGAACAACTCAAGGGTTTCTCGCTTACTTCATAATAGTAACCCCAGTACCAAGAACATATCTTAGATAACACAGAAGTTTAATATATAACCACTGGATTGAATTACTGGAATCACAGTATATACTCTGACACACCACTGGGCATAGCTGCGAGACTGGGAGGGGATATGAAGGAGGAGGCTATCCCCACCATTTTTTCAAAGTTGAAACCATTTGGCTGTCTAAAGGACTGATGTCTGATCATAAAAGACTCCATTCTTTTCCAATTGAACTGAGCAGTCTACTTCTTTTTGTTTCTCAAGTCAAAGACCAACACTGTCCTAAACATATCTTCCTATTTTTTTTTTTAATACCAATGTGGGTCACTTTGGAAGAGGTTAAGCAAGTGTTTGCAATGGTATTGATCGAAACTAACTGACACTGCTTTTAAGTAACATAAAAGCCCTACAGATTTTAAATTATGACTCATCAAGGAAGAAACTGGTTACACTTAATTTCGTGTATACTGGTCCATGAAATGCTAAATGTCCTAAGAAACCATTTCAAGACTTCTTTGCATTTTCATTTAGGTAGTTTCTACACATGTAAGCTGATCATGATGGCAAATTGTTTTTGCACTGTACAAACTGAAGTGGTGGTCTGGTTATTACCTTATAACTGACTAAATGACAGTCACATCCAGAAAAGCAGGTTTTGGCGGGGGAAAGGAGTTGTGGCTGAAATGAAAACTGTAGTTTCTTTTCACTGATCAAACTGACTACATCATTACCCAAAGCTCTACTTTACGTTCTGCAGTGTGAATAAGTCTAGATAATAGGAACAAGACTACGTTCCCATAGGTAAGATGGAATCTGCTGAGGTGGAGATCTGGCCTGGATATCCTGCCTGTCTCTGGTGAGAATTAGGTGCCACATGTGGAATGATGGCTGTTCTATTTGCAGTAGCCTGGGACTAGCCATGTTCACCCTTGGGTAGCTTAATCCATATAGCCAGGCACTGGATTTAGAATAGGCAGATCTAGTCAACTAAATCAGCTGTCAGGGATAAGTTCACCAGAGGTGGCTTATGACTCATTTTTTTTTCCCATGCAAAAAAGCTGCAGATTGATACCTTTTGTTGGGACTAGAGTAGTTCTACTCAGCTTTCCCTGGATGAAAACTTCTGGTTTAAAAAGGCTAAAGGTCAGCTGTGGCAGCTGAAGTGACCTACAAAAGAAACTTCTGGGAACAATATCTAAGGGAAAAGCATTTGTTCATTCATTGCTTATTCTACCCTTAGTGACTCAGTATCTCTGTGGAATGCAGATACCACAGTCTGGGATCCTGGAGTCCTAGAGTCAGGTTTCAACATAATGATATCTGAAGAGTCCTTTCACCCTTGTGACTGTAGTTGTCAAGAGGGCACTCTGGTTTAGTCAAAGGCTGTGTAAAGAACAGAAATACAGAGTGGGGGTGGAGGGGGACTGAATTCAGGAGGAGAGTTTCCAGGCACAGGCGCAAATCGCCACCATTCAAAACGAGTGTGAGGCCCTATCCCAGCCATACAGTTCCATTAACTGAATTTGCATCTCCCAGTCACAGAAATGATATTTCCACAGTCTTGACATTCTAAATATCAAGAGAATTAGATGCAAGCCAAAAAATCCCCTCAGCTTGTGAAGATCATTACATGACACACAGTAAATTCAGACAAAGGGAAAAACTTCTAAATACTGATAAGAAAAGCACCAAAGAAGTCATCACTTGAAGAATTACAGCTAAACTGCACTGCATTTGAAAACAACCTGGGGTAGCAGCGAGGTCAAAGCCTGGACTACCTTGGTATATGAAGCAGAAAGCATTTAGAGGAGTGCATGCCCTCACGTTTTCCCTTCATTTAAATTCTTACACTGGAATAAACAACTCTGCTTTCTAGGTCTATATTCCATCTGATCAGAAATGTACAAAGAAAATGTCCATAGGACAACTCTGGTCAATTTTGTTTATGGAACAAAATGCATTTATAAAATAGCTTTATTTCCACTGCCCCATAGTCTATCCCTAAATGATTACAGATGGTGATGAAGACTACATGTTTCCTGTTCGAAAGCAATAGCCCATAATCTAGCAACACCACCAGGTGAGTTTTTTTTTTTTTTTTTTTTGCGTTATGGGGGCCTCTCACTGTTGTGGCCTTTCCCTTTTGCGGGGCCCAGGGCGC